GACGAGTGACAGCACTAGTCCGTATGGAGCTTAATCAATGGAGGCATATTTGCCTAACGATAGCTGAAGACCATCCCTGCTATTACCAACATTGAGATAGGTTTCCATAGCCGAATTACGACCGTGGCAGTCGGTCTGACCCCTAGTCCACATGCTCACTGACTTCGATTATCAAAACCTACACTTACACAGCCGCTAAGCATTGACACAGACCGGGCCGTTGGCATTGACAATACGGGAGCACTGAAGCGTTCAATCGCAGGAAACGCCAAACCACAAAACCAAGACCTACACAATAGCTATAGAGAGTTGCGAAGCCATCGTCTTAGACCCTACCTTTCTTTTGCAACGAATGCCAGTTTACTTTAGGACAGTTGGGATAAGATCGCAGTGGATCAAGTGTAGAGCACGCGATATGCTTCCATTGCTGAAGTGCGAGCACAGCAGCCGATATGTGTCATCGTACATACTGGCATTCCTTTGGCGTAGTCAGAGAGCGAGCATTGCAGACCAAACGACTGCTTAAGATCCATGCTGGGGGCTATTACGGCCGACGAGGGCCATCATTAGAACTTATTCGGCTTATTGAGCCATAAAATACGACGACTTAGTCGCAAAAGGCTCACTGTGCATACCTTAGGATTGTAGTGGAACAATCGCCGTAGACCGATCACACTTTTGATAACATTGCCATAAGCATCCACATTTGAGGCATCGGTCTAGACAACTTGATGGCACGCGTTCCTGAAATTCGCAGGCTTCAATGAAAACTGCGGCCAGCCTTTAACGGAGTCTGGCCATATTCCCCGCTTTCAACAGTGGCCTCAATTGTTGCCGGCATACTTGCACGCACTACTTGGACTTTCCACGACCGCCTACCATGGGCTGGCCCTAGGTTCTCATTATGTCTGGGAGTGCACGCGCAGAAGCCCTGTCAGCATGACTTTCTTCTTCACTTTCACCGCCCCGAGAACGCGGCGCTGCAAATATGTCTATATAAGCTCATTGTATTGCACCCCCCACACGGAAATCTTTAGTAAATGGCGAAAGACTTATCCTAGGCTTTGACAGGTTTCAGCCAGGTAGGTGGTCCACCTACTTAGCCAATACGTCCTCATCCCCTTCGCGCTCGTACCCGTACCCAAGTCGGTTGAACAGGCATAGGGTCGGTATCAGTATCAAAGTTTATCTAAATTCATTTTTCATACTAAAAAGGAAAGGCTTCGGCTATATGCGAGAAAAAGAGTTCCCAGGTATCTTTCAGACACATGGCGTTAATGCCAAGCCATAGACGGTATTGCAATTCGTCTATGTGGGCCCAAACAGCTCGACAATCTTCAGGATAGTCGTTAACGTTAACCGACTATTTTCAGGTAGACTTTCCGCTCTTACGGATTTCCTCTTCCGGCATCGAGGACATCGAAGAGCAACACCGTCCGAATACCGACTGCGTCCTTCCAGTTTCATCCACTGCCGGCACTTGCACATCATCCGCACAGGCAACACTTTTCTCCGCTGGCAATATTCGATCACATTTTCCGATTTAATAGCATGCAATATTTGCTCCGTTTGGCTTACAAGGGTTATGATAGTTCGAGGTTTCCGTTTATTGCTTGCGTCTACCGATCTACAAAACAAAAATTAGATTTACTTTTCTTAAAAATATCCTTATTGCATATTCCTTGCTATGGCAACATACTAAACATGTATTAAATTTAGGACATACTATTCCATCGTTGGTTATTTATCCAAAACACATTTGCATTTGCCTACCATTTACTTATTCACTTACTGTGGTATTTCGTTTCTCTCGATAAGTGCTTCACAGGTACTCAAGCGCATAGCGTTAGACGTCATGGTGTAACGCCCCTTCGCACGAACAGAGTTGTTTGAATGTCGTGACACTTTTGGCGCGCGAACCTGGGATGGAGATGGCGTAACTGCGTGCTGACGAAGACGGCCGGTGTCCCTTCCTCTCGCTACCACCGACCCCCCTCCCGCAACGAACCGCCGCTCTCGACTCTCTCTCGCTCTCCCACTCAATGTCGGTTCCCCCTCAGCCCTTCCCTGCAGTTGCCCACAGCGCTGCATCCCCACCGCCTGTTTAGCTAGTATCTCTGGGTCGTCTATCCATCAGTTTTAAATACCTCGGAGCGAGGCTGCTGCCTAATGGACAGAGTAAGGACGACATTGTCTCCCGAATTGATGCTGCCTGCTGGGTTTTCTCAAACTTTCGGAAATGCCTGTGGAACCGTCTGTGAATTGTTTGTACGTTCCATGTTTCAGTCCGTGTTGTAAGTTATGCAAAACTGTTTTTCAAAGAGGCAGAACAAAGAGGGACCGCCAAATAATTCCGGACGTTCGCCCTATCCGGAACACACACACATCTGGGTCAGGCCGGTGTCCCAGTTCAACAAACACAGCAGCTACAGACGCAACAACAGCAGCTTTACCGGCAGGGTGCCAACATGAGCAACTTGCACAACCATGCGGCCATGGAGCTGTGTGACATGAACGAAGGCCGCCAGATACAACGCGATTATTCCGCCCTCATGCCACAATCGGCGGCGGCGGCGGCGTCACCAATTCCGCCATCAGCGCCAACACCAGCCAAGGTGGTGCGTGTGCACGCGCTCTAAAACTACACGGCCAAAAACCCCCAATGAACTGGACTTAAAGAAGGGCGACGTGATGATCGTGGAGTCCGGTCTCTCAGAGTCTTAGTGGGTGGCTCGCCACCAGGAAACAGGGCAGCAAGGTTATATACCAAGCAACTATGTCGTCGTAGAAGACGGTCGACCCACCCCTCTCTGGACGCCTGGTTCGACATTAGTCGCAGCGAAGCAGACCGTCTACTCCTCATGCCAGGACTCCCTCAAGGCACCTTTATTCTTCGGCCTAGTTCGCAGCCCCGAATACTTGCGTTGTCCATCCGCTATGAACCCGAGAAGGGATCCTAGCGGAGGTAGACCTAAACAGAACTGATAACATCTCTCGGAACTCGTTCACACGCAGAAGAAGCTAAGATTCCTAACCGCGGGCTCAGAAACAACAGTACACTCTGCAGAGCAATTCCTCGACAAAATAAGGGCGGTCACGATCGAACCGAATGAGAGGATGGTGTCATTTGACGTCGTCTCACTCTTCACGTCCATACCACAGGCCCTTGCGGTCGAGACGCTCAGTGACCTGCTTCGTCAGAATTACGACGAGGGCAATGGCCAGCCCACAACTCAGGATCTCATGGGGCACTGACTAAAGACATTTTCTACCTTCGAGGGGATCACCTATGAGCAAATTAAGGGCACTCCGATGGGTTCACCAATCTATGGACTCATTGCCGAGGCCGTTCTGCAAAAACTCGAGAAACGACTGTTCGGGGAATACAAACCCAAGTTTTGGGCGCGCTACGTTGATGATACCTTCGTAATCATCAATCAGGATAAAATTAGCTACTATGAGGAACTATTGAACTCAGTCATCCCCGACCTACAGTTCACGATGGAAGAAGAAGTAGAGAGCAAACTTTCATTTTTGAATGTTCTCATCTGCCGCCAACCAGACGGTAAACTGGCGACGTCAGTCTACAGAAAACCGACGAACACGCTGCAAATGCTCAGTTACAACAGCAACCACCCATTGCAACACAAACGAAACTGTGTACGCAGGCTATACCGACGGGCGGAAACTCATTGCAGCACTCCAGTCTCCAAACTGGACGAGATGAAACTCCTCCAAGAACTCTTCAGAGCCAACGGCTATCCGCGAAAATTCGTTGAACGGAGCCGAAAGCAACCAAGGATGCGGAATGAAGAACCTATTCAGCCAAAATCGTGGCGGAGCATTCCATACATGAAAGGGGTCTCCGAAGCCGTAGCCAGATCCCTCGCGCCGCTCGGAATAGGCGTTGCCCACAGGCCCGACTCAACAATCCGCCGGCAAGTGATGCGGCCAAAAGACCCGATCCCTAAACAGGAGATGTCGGCTGTTGTCTACCGACTTCAGTGCAGCTGCGGAATGTGTAACTACGTTGAGTAAACCGGCCGACGGCTGCAAACGCGCATAAGTTGGCCGTGCGAAGGTTGGACCCAAAGTCGGAGGTAGCAACCCATGCCGCCCAAATGGGACACGTCTTCAACTTTGACGTCCTTGAAATTGTGGGCCGACGTGATGATCATACGGCAAGGCAGGTGCAAAAAGCCTGGATGTCTACAGACTGTTCTGTCAACCGCCACATCAATTTACCTTCCCCTTATCTGGTTTTACGGACATTCTTGACGGGGGACAGTCACGGCGCGGGACAACGGGGGCCGCCAATTATCACCGCGGCCGACAAAGATGGGCGGGATCCAGGTCACGGTGACATGCGGGTCGGATTCAGCCACACAGGCGGCATTGGTGGGCCAGGCATTGGACAAAGTGCGCCATAAAAGGAAAGCTGTGTGCACGACTGCTCAGTCTCTGAAGATGGGTAGAAGAAAGGACTACCCGAAACGTCAGACCTCAAATACACCTCTCCCGGTGAACGCCTCCTCCTCTTTTGATATGCCACCCGGGAATCGCATTTTCACCACTATTGATGCGAATTACGGGCGCGAAGCGCTTCAACTGGCTCGTCGTTGGGAAAAAAACTGTCCTCCGACAGGCCTCGACCTATGCACAGCTCAATTTCCTGCACAGATGCCTTACCAACTATGTTATGCCAAAATTCCTCTCTTACAAGCCTCCCGTCAACACGGAAATGGCTAAACAGACGATGTTCTGTCATAGCCGGCGAATGACAAGGGTGCTCATACAAGATTGCCACCTACGACTAAGGAAATACGCACGCAATGCCGACAACTTTAGGATGATTGTTACACGTCATTATATTGGAGAACACCTTAATATCGTTAGGACGAAAAAAACGTGCTAACAGGGATGCCGATTTATCAGTAAAGTTCATGGCCCAGCAGACCGCACAATCCCGGGAACCTGAACAAATGTTAGTATACAACCTCTCGTCGAAAAATCTTACTGTGGCCCAAACAAAAGTTCTACAACGTGGATCTGGTTTTAACACAACTGACGCCGAGCCGGTCACATTCACTGCTTCTTTCGAATCTGTGCTACGTCAAACCGGCGCCACAGACGAGGCAAAAGACCTCCTCCGACATCGAGTCTCTTCACTTCTCATGTCACACCGAAAAACCCATTCGCTGCTAAGAGATGAACAAAAGGCCCTAAGGGAGTTGAAGGCGGACACCGAAATAGTTATTCTGCCTGCTGACAACGGCCGATCAACTGTTATTCTTGACAAGGTGGATTACCGAAACAAAGCGCTCATGCGCCTCAACGACCGGGAGTCCTACATGGTCAGCGACGCCGCCAGTCTAAAGTCCCTACTGGTGAGGGTTAACAGGGTTCTGTCTCGACTAAAGGAAAAAGTCATCACCGTCAAAGAATGGTATATAGCAAAGCCCACAGAAACACTGATGGCGAGATTCTACGGTCTTCCAAAGGTACACAAGCCAGATGTTCCCCTCCGACCAATCGTCTCACTCCGAGGCACACCCACGTACGGGCTCGCAAATTGGCTGTTTCAGAAGCTAAGATTCCTAACCGCGGGCTCAGAAACAACAGTACACTCAGCAGAGCAATTCCTCGACAAAATAAGGGCGGTCACGATCGAACCGAATGAGAGGATGGTGTCATTTGACGTCGTCTCACTCTTCACGTCCATACCACAGGCCCTTGCGGTCGAGACGCTCAGTGACCTGCTTCGTCAGAATTACGACGAGGGCAATGGCCAGCCCACAACTCAGGATCTCATGGGGCACTGACTAAAGACATCTTTTACCTTCGAGGGGATCACCTATGAGCAAATTAAGGACACACCGATGGGTTCACCAATCTATGGACTCATTGCCGAGGCCGTTCTGCAAAAACTCGAGAAACGACTGTTCGGGGAATACAAACCCAAGTTTTGGGCGCGCTACGTTGATGATACCTTCGTAATCATCGATAAGGATAAAATTAGCTACTATGAAGAACTATTGAACTCAGTCATCCCCGACCTACAGTTCACGATGGAAGAAGAAGTGGAGAGCAAACTTTCATTTTTGAATGTTCTCATCTGCCGCCAACCAGACGGTAAACTGGCGACGTCAGTCTACAGAAAACCGACGAACACGCTGCAAATGCTCAGTTACAACAGCAACCACCCATTGCAACACAAACGAAACTGTGTACGCAGGCTATACCGACGGGTGGAAACTCATTGCAGCACTCCAGTCTCCAAACTGGACGAGATGAAGCTCCTCCAAGAACTCTTCAGAGCCAACGGCTATCCGCGAAAATTCGTTGAACGGAGCCGAAAGCAACCAAGGATGCGGAATGAAGAACCTATTCAGCCAAAATCGTGGCGGAGCATTCCATACATGAAAGGGGTCTCCGAAGCCGTAGCCAGATCCCTCGCGCCGCTCGGAATAGGCGTTGCCCACAGGCCCGACTCAACAATCCGCCGGCAAGTGATGCGGCCAAAAGACCCGATCCCTAAACAGGAGATGTCGGCTGTTGTCTACCGACTTCAGTGCAGCTGCGGAATGTGTAACTACGTCGAGGAAACCGGCCGACGGCTGCAAACGCGCATGCACGAGCATAAGTTGGCCGTGCGAAGGTTGGACCCAAAGTCGGAGGTAGCAACCCATGCCGCCCAAATGGGACACGTCTTCAACTTTGACGCCCTTGAAATTGTGGGCCGACGTGATGATCATACGGCAAGGCAGGTGCAAAAAGCCTGGATGTCTACAGACTGTTCTGTCAACCGCCACATCAATTTACCTCCCCCTTATCGCATTTTCACCACTATTGAAGTGTTAATGTACATGTGCAACGAGGAACAGCGAAAAATGACCTGTCTGGATGGATAGACGACCCTGAGATACTAGCTAAACTGCCGGTGAAGATGCAGCGCTGTAAGCAACTGCAGAGAAGGGCCGAGTGGGAGCCGACATTGAGTGGGAGAACGAGAGAGAGTCGAGAGCGGCGGTTCGTTGCGGGAGGGGGGTCGGTGGTAGCGAGAGGAAGGGACACCGGCGGTCTTCGTCAGCACGCAGTAACGCCATCTCCATCCCAGGTCCGCGCGCCAAGTGTCAGGACATTCAAACAACTCTGTTCGTGCCAATGGGAGTTACAATGGTACACACGTTCACTAACTATCAATGACGACAGCCAACTGGCCAATCTAGTGGTTACGGCTCCTTGGATGTCTGAACATAGGTCCTAAATTGGTCCGCGGTTTGCTTAAAACGGTACACGTGTAAAGCACTGCTATTTGTTTACTTTTCAATTGCCGCGCCTATTGCCGTTGCCGTACAGTGATGAAATAAAACTTTATCGTTTAAATCGGAATTTCATAAAAACAAGCTTCTATTATTTACATTTGTCCACGCATCCCGATGGCCACTTCGTGAAACCCCTATTACCACCTATCCTGTAAGACAAGCAGCTTTGTTTGAGAGGATTTTTTTAGGTGCGATCTCCCAAAATTTACCGGAAAAGTTTTTGAAAGCCAAATTATACCCTTCTTTAGAGTATGAAATTGGAAGATGAGGTGATTTTCTTCCGAATGGGCAGAAAAATGTATATTTTTGTCATTGTTTTCCATGAAATATAACTGAATTTTTAAAGCATCGAAAATCGGTAAGAAAAATGCATGCCAAAAATGTAGTCATTTTTTACAAAGTGGAACTTTTCGCATGCAGCCGGAAGCAAGTTTATTCGAAAGATGGCATCCCGAGTCAACTGAAATATTATAGAATTATGTTTCAGGCTGACGAGTTTTACAGTCCTACTTAATTAATCTTTTCGAAACGTAAACGCATTTCTTAATTTCGTTTGACATTTCATGAGCTAGCCTACCTACTGTATATACACGCATGCATCAACTAAAAGGTCATTATTTCGGAAGTAGAGTACATACTGGAGTGCGAGATGATCTTCAATCGCATCTGTGGTGCAGGCAAATTTACACCAGGTGTTGTATTTGACGAAACTGCAGTCCAAATTCCAATGACGTGAAAATTTTACTAGTTATTCTAGTGCTCCTTCCTCCTTTTTGATATTTTCGTTTGGAAATGTTATCCTCGAAGACTTGGCTCTTTAGCAGCTGGTTCTATCGTACCTTGTCTGAGTGTGGTGCGTATGTTTGACAACAAACTTGTGAAGATATTACTCTTCGTTTATTCCGTCACATCTGAACATTCTGAATGTGTTTCGGAGTTGACATTCTTTCCCTTTTTGTGAGATAACTATAGTTGTTTAAATGAAGAGTTGAAATGAATTTACATTGTCCATGTCGGTGAGTAGGTAATCAAGCATTATTGATTTCGCCTTTGTTTTTTATCCTACTGAGCTCAGTGTGGTCAAATTTCCTTAAAAGCATAGATCGAGTAGCATACTACAGTTTTATCCTTTTAGAATTACAGTGTGAAATCTGTTTAATTTAATGGGACATCTCTCCGACGAATGAGAATGTGGCTGCAACACAGCCGTGACCTCATTGGCCACCTCTGGCGGGGTTTCGGATTTAAGTCCAGTTGCAGGTTGATGTATGCCCCCGTGGTCGGCCATCAGCTGCTATCAGGGCACCCCACGGCATTTGCGTCTACAGACATCGCTTGATTTTTAAACTGAGTAACTGAAACATAGCTTCCCTGCCAGCACATGGCCCCTTCATAGGCGGGGCTGGGTGGAGCCAGAGCCCCCCCTGCCAGCACATGGCTCCTTCATAGGCGGGGCTGGAAGGGGCTGGGTGGGGCCAGAGCCCCCTCTGGATTGAAGCATTTTGAAGCGTATTTGCATCGAAACATATGTTTCAAAAGCACCACTCATTGTACCTTCTTTGGCATTAAAAGGAGCTAATTTATCAAAATTGGCCTATAAATCATGGAGAAAGCATCCGTTAACACCCACTGAATGTAGCTGCGAATGAGCACAATATACTGAGGTCCCTCATTGCGTAAACTCTCATTTGTCCACCGGATTAGAATCTGTGTGTGTTATTGATTCGTATATTTGACAATCGATTGCAGATAATATCGTGAGTCAGCCAATGCTGTTTTCATGCTCTTGATAGCTGTCTTAGTCTATTTATGTATATTATGCTAACTGTTTAGGTATCTACTCACCAGCCAGTTCAAGTAGTCGAGTTGTATGTCTATGTATGTATATTTAGCCTTGGTGTTCGTAGTCCACTTATACAAATTGTTTATCGTTTTTACTGGATATCCAAAGCAATTATGAAGCGTAATTACTCTGGCTATCACTGAAGCACCAGCCGTCGAAGTGGGGACTTTTGGAACGCACGACTGAATGGTATAACATATGTTGAAGTCCATGTATATACTGGCACTGACATTTATTATGATTGTACATATTTTCCAATTCCTTTTTCGTTAAATAACTAATTCACATGAATTTGCGTCGCGTGGATTTGATATTGGCTGCCGATTAGTGGGCACTTGTACGGCGGGGTCACTGTGAGTACTATGTAATACCGTAGTACTCTACGTACGCAGGGTGGGTTCCGACGTGTAACCTGTGGGAACAGTGAGGCACTGCACCTCAGGGGACTTGGTATACAGGACGATATTTTAAAGTGGTGCCAAAAGTGGGCGGGGATGTGACGTCCCCTGCGCATTTTTTTTCGCTGGCGGGGCTAGGCGGGGCTATCGCGTTGCATGCTCCGCCACAGCCCGCTCCACAGCACCGCCTAGTCCCCTCATGGCCCCCTCTAGCTAGGCAGGGCTGGTGCTGGCAGGGTTTTATGGTGGTCCTGGTACGGAGCCCAACTGAGCACGACGGAATTATTCTGCGCTCCAACTGGGACAATTTCGACTTGGTTACCATTCAACAGTTACAGTCTCTGACATTGATACTGGAACCGTACGTACAGAATTACTTTGTGCATTTTCGGAATATTTTTTCACGCATCGAAATTCGCCAGGAACCTGGATTAAGTGCAATTTGTTTATCGGCACGGTCCAACTGACAACGCAACCGGCTACACAACCGATTCGCGGATATAAAGCCTAGAAAATCAATCGCTCAAAATCCTTCAAGGTCTGCAGTTATTCAAGTCCCACGAGATCGGGAAAGGGCTAAGTCGCTTCTGATTAAATTCAACAAAATTTATCGGATTTTAAGTATTTTTTTCGCTTATTGAGTTTTGAATACTCACTTTAATTCATCATATATAAGCTGACGTATTCGTTATAACATCCAAAGCGAAATTATACCTTTTATATCACGTCGAAGTTTATGGATCCACAGCAAGCTAACTGTAGTAGTACGGCCAGCGACGGCACCTCTTTGGAAGATAAGTCCGATGAGTTGTCCTTCGCATCCAGACCCTTTGCTCGCTCTACCTTCGCCTCCAGCCAACGACCAGCAAAGCGTGCAAAAAGCGTAAATACCGCAAAAAGTGTGAGGTACGAAGACGAGCCTTGTGGTGGGTGCGCAGATATTCAAATCAAAGTAGAACAACTGGAAAAGGAGCTGGCTGATTTAAGGACGCTCGTGAAACAGACCGTAGTCGGCCAGAACGTGTCCAGTGTTTGAATCCCAAAAACGAAGAGCAAAACGCAAAAAACGCGAAAAAAATATCTCCTCGGGGGAATCTTCAAACACGAGTAGCAACTCAACAGCCAAAACCGCAGACGCCGGTAACAGCAGGACAATGAAAATGAAGCCGCCAATAAAGGGAGACTCGATACCCACGCACGATGTCTTAAGGGATGTCGCAAAAAAATTACCTGTCGCGGAAGCGATCTCACCTAAGCCTCTTGCTGTAAGTGATGGGATTTCTGTTCTGCCTGGAGACGATAGACCTGGGTCATCCAGTCTACTGTTGCCCTCTTGTTCTGGCAACCACCCCGAGCGCACTACAGAGCACGTATCTGAATGCGAAAAAATAAACCCGTGGACAGAGGGAAGAGGGAAACGCCATGACAGGATGAGTTGCTCGCGACAGACAATAGACAGTTAAAGTGTGCGTTCAAGCGATGACTCCGTAAGTAGTCCTCGCTCACATGCAGCGCATTCACCGGAAAGACGGAGTAAAGAGGACCAAGCTCGCCAGCAGTGTCTGGTTATTCAGGGTTTGTCAGAATCGAATGCAGTCAGACCTGAAGACCGTGTCTCAGACGACCTTGCTTCTTTTCATGGTCTACTAGATCATTTACTGCTCGCAGACATGGAAATAAAGGTTCTGAAAGCATTCCGGACTGGAAGAAGGAGTGAAGACAGGACAGTAGCGCAACCACCTCGACCTCTCAAAATTATGCTGGAGAACAAAGAGCAAATCAAGTTTATCCTCTCTAAAAAAAACCGATCTCAGAAACACACACAAACAGGTTTTTTTCCAACCGGACTATTCACCAGCGGAACGGTTAAAACGCCGGGAACTTGTCTTGGAGTTAAAATCAAGACTGAAGGATGGGGAACACAATCTAAATATATTCAAGGGGAAGCTAGTTCGGAAATGTATGCCGTTTCAGTTGAACCAGCCTGTAATACTACGAACGACGACAGCTACTCAGCTAAAACAGACACCTTCGTTGAACCACCCGATCAAGGCGCCAACACAAGTGAGCCCGTAGCGTCCAGTGATCTGACTGAAACAAGGCATGTAAATGGAACCAATCAGGTAACGGAAGAGCCTAGAGAACACGACGTCCGCGATAACGGAGTAATGCTCACAGCAGTAACAAATTTTTTTTTTATATTTAATGCCAGTTTACAGACATTGTCAAGGGAAGCGATTAAACACAAATCCGACCAGCAGTGAAAAAAACTCCTGAGCTTAAGGGATAAAAATATAGTTGATGGTGGTTTTTGTGGTTTGGAGGGCTCAGGAGAAAAAACTGCC